GAGTAATAAAAGAAGTGGGGAGACTCGAACCCTCACTAGTGATAACCAAAGCCCTCACCTTACCAACTCATCTAAACCTCCATAAGCTAGTTTTCAAATTGTTGTTCAAAAGAGTGGCTCACTCTGATAAAGACTCAAATATATATATATACACAATCCTTTTACATACTATTTTGGAGGCCAAGTATCATTGTAAATAAGTAAAAAAGTGTTTGTTGTAATGTTAATGTGCTTATGTATTCATAAATAAATAATTGTACGTGGGGGCGATATTCACACTTTACTTTTTTACATTTGCATTTTATTTTATTTTTTTCTTTTTCTTTAATGTGAATGACAAAAGAGTCCCTAAATTAATCAATGCATCATCCCTTATTTTATTATACCATAACTACCATTTGCACTATATATATATATTTACCTTCTTTACTAACTCCAAAATTATAGTTTAACATGATAATAAACCAATTGCCCTCCTTTGATATTACCTCACATATTAAATGCACTAACTAATTTTAGATAAAACTACACTTTTACGGTCATAGTTCACATTTTTTCTTTGTATATCAATTATTCCTCTATAGTACCCTTTTTTGTTATATATATATATATATATTTTTTTTTTTTTGCTTTTTTAAATTAATTAATATTATATCTTGTTAATCTTTCAAAAAATATATATATTTTATACCCTGAGGAAAAGATATTTGAAAGGTGAATTCTATGGATGTAGATTTTGACATAAACTCATCTCTCCTCTCTCTCTTTTTCTTTTTTGTTTTTTTCATAAAATCCTTATTCTTGAAATTTTATTGTCAAAATAGGTAGGGCTTTTCTCATCAATAAGAAAAATTTTAAGATTTAAATGTATTCCAAATTAATTCTTAAAAATCATATGAAAGAAAAAAATTGGAATTAAACTCAAAACACACAATATGAAAAGAAAATAAAAGAAAAAATTACCATGACCATTAACATCAATGATGTTGAATGACTTATGGAGTTTTGATAGTTCTTACATGTTTCATGTGTTAATATTTCAATATTACGTAGATAATTAATACAAAGTAGAAAAATAATTGAGAGAAAACGTTAAAATGGGGAGAGAGAGTGAGACAGATATATATTTCTATAACTGAAAGGATATTTGTGATATTTGAAAAAAAAAATTATTTATTTAAATAATTAGGGATAGAAGTGTCATTTTCGTTAAGAATGTAGTGCAATTATAGAAAAGTGCAGTACGAATATCACGGTTGCCAATAATTTTTTTTTTCTTCATATAATTAATACTCATCGAGGAAAAAAAAAAAGAATTCATGAATATCACAAAAGAAATTCAAATCGGCTCCTAACAAATAAAGAGACTAGTAAAATGTTCAAAGTAATACTACTACATACGTCTCATATATATATATTAGTAGTATTTCCTTTTTAGATGTCCCAAACTAATTGTCTATGTAGAAAAGTCAAAACAAATAAATGTTGTCTTTGCGTTATTGTTATTTATATTTTTAATAAATTGATAATTTTAAAAGGGAACAATACTTTAATTGTATATCTCTTTAAAAACTTCAAATTTTAAACATGAACATCGAAAAAGGATATGTAAAACATTTACACGATTTGGCTCCTTGTATTTTTGCTCTCGTTCAATAAACTATGTTGTGAATTTTCATACTACCACTATTATCAATTGTTCCGAGGGAGGTTTTATGTTGAACTATAGCTTCAGAGTAATTGCTCGTTAACAAAAATTTGAATAACAAAAATTTATGAACAATAGGGCAGGTCCAATAAAATTGCAACAAGTGTTAAAATTAAATATAAAATTAAATTAGACATTGCATAACTTTTGATTTTGGACATGTGTTTTAAATCATAACTTTTGTTTTTAGACACTTGTTTTAGTTCTATTAGGCCACATCAATAGGTTGGATGAAATATTGTTCAAAATTTATATATAATTCGTAAGACAATACTTAGGTTCTCACTAGTAAGGATCTACACTTTCCTCACCGCTTATGTGGTCCAATTAAAACAAAATACGTCATCTTTTGTTAAAGAGATTAGAAAAATAAAATATATCGGATCATACCCGAACGAGATCAGGTAAAGTGTGTTCAACAATTTATTTTCTATTTTTTTTCAAGGTGGTTCAACGTCGTTATCTGATTCTCTCTCTTTCCAACACTACCTTCAGCCCTCTCTCTCCACCATCTCTTATTCCTCTCAAGTTTATAGTCCTGGACATCATCATTTAACTGGTAAGAATATTTGAAGGAGGTATGATCTTTTTTTTTTTTTTGTCAAAAAATCTGATATGTATCTTTCGTTCCTTTTTTCCCTTCTTTTTTGGAATTTGTAAGAAGCTGATCATAGAGCCCAAGGATCAACTTGCCGCTTTTAATCCTCACAATTGTTTCTCTCTTTTTTCCTTTTTTTTTGGTTATTTAAATGCTAATTTTCAATTCAGGGAAAAAATGAATGATGATGTGTGAAAAAAAAAAAAAGAAAAAAAAAAAAGGATCATAACTCCTTCAAATATTCTTGTCAAATTGAATGATGATGTACTAGAAGCTTGAGAGGAAGAAGATGGTGGAGAGAGAGGGCTGAAGCGGTGCCAGAAAGATAGAGAACCATAGAGTGGCGTTGAGCCCTAGAAAAAAAAAAAATCCCTGAACTCACTTACCCGATCTCATTCCAGCAGGATCTAATTTATTTTATTTTTTAACTTGTTTAATAAAAGAGGACGTGTTTTTTTTTTATTATTAGATCGTATAAACAGTGAGTATAGTGTAGATTCTCACTAACGAGGACCTAAGTATTGTTTTAATTGATATATATAAATGTTTAATGAGAATTTTTAAATTGTTATGGACTTTGGACATAATCTTATTTTTCACACTACAAATGTGCCGTTTTATCACTAAATCTAGACGTTTTGATTTGGAATTAGAAGAATGTTATTTTACATTCACTATGAATCCCTTCCAAGTTAAGGACTTTACTTTATATATTTTTTTCCCCAACTTTACTTTATAATGAAAGGTCAATTAAATTAAGTTAAAGGTAAATATACCTTGCCCTAAATTGTCACTTGAATCTTTTAATGCTTTATTTTATAAATATATGTGTGCGTATAGACAAAAATTTAACAAGTAATTATAGTTTGACTTTAGGAGAATTTAAACACTCAATTTTTCACATAGAAACTAATGAGTTTTTCTTTCATAATATATATATGCTTTGCTTTAACCTTAAAAAAAAAACAAAAAAAAAAAAAACTAATGAGTTTATTTTGGTGAGCAAGATACTAATGAGTCATTTACTACGAAATAATGAGCAAGATAGTTGGCCATTATCCTTTAATTATTGGGTTTCAATTCGAAGTACTTTACCTTTTGTTTTACTAGTAACTATTTTATTTATGGTAAAAAGTGCCAATATTTCTTGTCCCAAAGGATCCGACAATAAGGCTGTTAAGTGATTTTGCCGATGACTCCGAAATATTCTCATACGCGCTTCATAAGGGCAAGGATGAGTGTCACTATTTATGTTCATCAACAATTTTACAACATGCCATATGGACAAACACATAAAGAATTGATCAATTTACCATTTGTGAATTTTTTTAATTTTAAAAATTAATGAATTGAACAAATCTACTTCCCATTAACATTTGATAAAAAAAAAAATTAAAAATGCAGTTACATGACAAATTTGTACGCTAGGAAATAAAAAATTCATAAAAACTTCATTTGAAATCAAAATAGAACAAATGAAAATGCTTTAGAAAATAGACTCGTATAAGTGTAAAACTAAAAATTTTGGTAATGATCTGATATCTACAAAGCTGTTCAAATAAATAAACTAAAACCCTTATTTCAAAAGTAGAAAATTCTAGACAACAATTGTTATCGAATTTTTATAAAAATTTGTGTTTGGTAAAAAGTTACCAAATATTTTGAAGAGTGACTAGGTGTGCAAAATAACCTTTGGTAAAAATTTTATTGCAAACCTTAAAGAAATTAATGAATTCCAACACACAAAATTGGCGCCATTTTTGTGACTCATAATTTCAACATGTATGACATTTCACAATAAAATTAATTTTAATATTAAGGGAGCATTTTGTCTTTTTGAATCATTTAAGACCTTGTTTAAATGATAATTTTGACCAAAAAATATATATATAATTATCTAAAAAATAATCCATTTGTATATGACTGTTCATAATTGTATAATCACACTCACGAGTGTTAGATGTTAAAGCACTTGTGAAGCTCAACAGTGAGAAATTCGCTCGAGACATTTCTTTTCTAATTTTTCGGGTAAAGTCGCAAGAATTAAACATTCTTTTGTCTTTTTTATTTTTTTGGGTAAAGTTATCACAAGAGCTCAACAGTGACAACTTATTGTGGAATTCTCTCACTGAAAAGGGCCTCTCTCTCTCTCTCTCTCTCTTTCTTCACACCCAAGTGAGTTGTTAGCTCTTCTTTCTTCATCCAATCTATAATATTTCTTTATTGCTTCTAAAGATCTGAACTCGCGATTCAGTATTTTTCAGACAGATTTATATGAGCTTTAGATTCTTTACGTTTTGCTTTGGGTCATCTACTCTTTTACAGAACAAGAAAAATTAGCAAGCAGTACCATATATATATATATATACACACATATATATTCATGCTAGGTCTTCAAGAAACCAGTCCTCCAATTTCTGGTTCTGGACCACTTGATTTGAGGGCTTCTTCTTGGGTTTCATATAACCTTCTCTCTTCTATTGATTAGTGCAAAACTCTAATTATTCACTTTGGATCTTAATTAAATTCCTCATTCATTGTAACTTCAATCGTTGAACCGAAAACCTTGTCCTCTATAGAGCAGATATATATGAAAGTCTATCTATGATGAGTGAGAAAGCAATTAGATATATATATATATAGAGAGAGAGAGGGTTTTGTTAGTATTGTGTGTTTGAGAGGGACGTATATATATATATATATAAAGAAAGAGAAATTAAGATCTGATCAAGAAAAAGCTGGCAAACAAGTGGTGGGAGAGAATAGATGCGGGTATGGCAGAGTATAACCAACTCCTCAGACCTCAACTGCACTTGCAAGCGCTCTCTCTTCCTCAACATCACACAACAACACAACCCTCTGATTCCAAGGACTCGCCCGAAAGGCCGGACCCCGATGCCGCCACCAGCAGCTCCGGCGGAGCATCTGGCTCCATTCGGCGCCCTCGGGGCCGTCCTCCCGGGTCCAAAAACAAGCCAAAGCCTCCAATTATTGTGACAAGGGACAGCCCCAACGCCCTCCGATCCCACGTGCTTGAAGTAGCTGCTGGTGCTGATGTTGTCGAGAGCGTGTCGAATTATGCCCGCCGGAGAGGGAGAGGAGTGTCCGTGCTCAGCGGAGGCGGCACGGTTGTGAATGTCATGCTGCGTCAGGCGGCGGCTCCGGCTGGGAGTGTGGTGACGCTGCACGGCCGTTTTGAGATTCTTTCGCTCTCGGGGACTGTGCTTCCGCCACCGGCACCGCCCGGTGCTAGCGGGCTGTCCATATTCTTGGCTGGTGGACAGGGACAGGTGGTGGGAGGGAGTGTGGTGGGTCCTTTAGTGGCTTCAGGTCCGGTGGTTCTGATGGCAGCATCCTTTGCGAACGCCGTGTTTGAGCGTTTACCACTGGAGGAGGAGGAGGGAGGGCAGGTCCAGGTCCAACCCGCGGCGTCGCAGTCATCAGGTGTGACTGGAGGGGATGGTAATCGGCACGTGGGTGGTGACGGGGAAGGTGGTGGTGGAAGTGGCGTTCCTTTCTTTAATATGGGTGGGAACCTGCCTAATTATCCTTTTTCGGGTGATTTGTTCGGATGGGGGACAAGTGCTGCAAGGCCTCCATTTTAATGGTGTTTGATTGTAAGATCGAGTTTTTGGTTAATATCAGTGATCATAAATTCAAAGTAACCTTGATTTCATGTGATTCAGCTTTAGACAAGTGATTGAGGAAGAAGGAATAGCTTTTGTGTGATAAAAATAATTTTAGTGAGATTTATATATATATATATGATATAGAGAGATGAAATTGGTCTTCTTATGAGTTAGTAATTTCGAGGAGGGATTTGAAGATCGAAGAATGGTTTTGCTGAAGTTCGAGTCATGATGGATCTATTGAAGAAGGCCAAGTAGTTTTCTGGTTGAAACGGATGGCACGAAATGTGGAGCAAAGGAATTGATAGTTTAAAAACTTCTCAATTAAGGTCAGTAAGTACTCAAACTTGATGTATATAAACCCTCATTTCTTATTTCATGTTCTTAGATTATGTAATGTGGAAATTGTTATGATGCACATTATTAGGGTTTATATATTTCTGTCTTCCCTTCTTTTGTGCACTATGTTTCCTAATTTCCCATTGATCAATACAAGAATATGTCGTGATCGAGTGTTCACGAATTTTCAATTATAAATAAACACAATTAATGAGTATTCTTATGATTTCTTTTGTTATAAGTATGAATATTACATGTACAATGTGTCGACGAAAGTTCAAACAAATACACATATTAGGACTCACATACATCAATATACATATCCGGTGACTCACAGCGGTTCCCAAAGTACCCAACTATTTTGAAATTGTGAGTCACTGTTTCCAAAATACCCAACTATTTTGGTACGGAAGGAGTACAATGCACATACATGATAAATCATAGTTGTTGTGTACTGAACAATGCCTGAACTTAATTAAATCTGTAGATTATCTTGGTTTGTCTTGCATGTGGCTTTGTTCCCTTTGTTTCATTTGTTTGATTTTCATGGTTACCCAATAGAGAAAAGGTGACAGTGAAGAACCTTAATCTTGAAAAGCCTGCTTCTCCATCTTTGGCAAACCCTAGTTAGCTCTGTCGACCTTATCAGAACAATGACCAAATATCTCTCTCTACCTGAACATATATTTTGCTGACCAGACGTTAGGAAACTAGCTAGCTAGCTAAAGAAAGGGTGTTTGGTGACTTATCAGTTACAAAATTAAACATAAATTAATTTAATAAGGATTGAAGATATGGATAAGGCCTGTTACATTAATTAGACATTAATAATTCCAGCAAGAAACGAACATCTGTCTCAACACTTTGGTTTTGCGTAGATTGGAATCTTTTACCCATTTTGGCAAAAAGACAGAAACCCACTTCCCAAAGAGAGAACACATTGCGACTTAAATTGGAAAAAGAAAAGATTATTTCTTCTTGGAACTTTGCATTGGTTCCCTTTATTTTGGCTTCTTTTAAAAAAACAACTAGGTTTTTGTCTTGAAAGAAGCTAGATTTAAACTTTCAAAAAAGAAGAAGCTAGAGTTATCGTGCCATCTAAATCTTATTGATTCCAAGAGTAGCTGGTTTGCTTTGTTCCTTCCTTGCTGATATCAAAGGTGATACATATATAGATATATATATTTTGAAGGTTCAAGCAAATTTATTAAAGGTGATATATTGCCAGTGTGTGTATATTTAATTTTTTTTTTTTGGGCTACCAAGTCAAAATCAAGAATTCAATATGTTCATCAGCTGTTATGAATTCCTATGAATTAACCAAATAGCTCTCTTCTTAATAGAAAAATGCTGCTTTCAGATTTTTTTTTGTGTCCTCTATATAATCTTTGCTGGTTAATTTATTTTCCTTTCAATTTCTTTATTCGGACATTGGTGCTTCATGTTCCAAATTTGATTCTCTTTCCCTTGAAATGTAGAGAAAGGACTGACTTCACAATTAGTGCATAAACTATCCTATTTATTAGTTGAATAATGGTAAGTAATCCGAATATCGGATGCATCCGACTGTTTTAAGTGAGTAGGGAATGGTGTCATGATGACATCATCTTATACTCACATAAATTTAGTCGAATATCCCACAAGAAGTCATGATGACATCATCTCATAGTCACATAAATTTAGTCAGGTATATGTCCCACTCTTGGACTATGTATTATAACTCCTATTAATTTGAAAACATCTCTATGAAAGATGTCAGTTTTGTTTTAGCTTTAAGCTTATATGTTTTGACTGACCATGATTTGCTGTAGCTATAAATCCTACATATATATTTTCCTTTTTTCCAACAAGATTAGAACTCAAATATAATTGCAAGAGCTACAAATTGAAGAGAACCCCCTATTCAGCTAATTAAACAAGTATATTATTTCACTTATTATCCATTGTATATATAGTTTAGAGTTAATTCTGGGGAGGGAAGAGAAACAAAGAACTATGTATAGTCTATAGATATATACATACATACATACATATATATATATATATATATATAGAGAGAGAGAGAGAGAGAGAGAAGGAGAACTAGCAATCACCTATTCACCTTTTAACTGAGATGCTTTGGGTGATGCTGGTTTGTGCTTGAACACATTGTCATTGATACTTAAAGTCATGCAAGACGCATATCATGCATGCTGCATCAGCAAATGTACTGAGCATGTTAAAAGTGATATTCTTTGATTTTTCTTTTCCAATTGTCAAGAAATTCTACTTTCATAAAGATATTACACCCCTAAGTTGATATAGGTTTTGAAGAAGAAACTATAGGTTCATACTTTATTTATGGGATAATTACACTTACCATTGCCTAAATAACATGAATCGATCTCCTCTATGGTTTTAAAAATAACTCTGATCTCTCCATCAATGTTATTTTTATCGAACTGTGATAATGATTGTACTTTTATTAGTTTAACTCAGGGATAAAATAACATTTTCAAGCTTTTTTTTTTTTTTTTTTTGAAAGGAAAAATGAATTTATTAAAAAAAGAAATAGTACATCACCAAAGGCAGAGGGCTCAAGAAAAGCCTAACTTAACAAATTACAAAGACAATCCAAAGATGACAAGCCCAAAGGCAACAACCCAATACACAATTGAGAGCAATTGACGCCGTTACAAGCAAATCCACATTTCGGTTAGGGCATGGAGGAAACCTCCGTATTTAGGTATCCAGCAGCGTCGCCGGAGGACGCAAAACAGAGCATGGCAGATTCCATCCTCCAACAATCTGTCTTTCGGTGGTAGAATCCTTAATGGAGGTGGATAGGAGTTTAGTTCTTACTGAGTCTAATGTTAAATGGAGAAGTGAGTTTTGCGACAATTTTTTCCCTATGAAGATCCTCCAATTACGCTCCGCCCAAACATTGTAAACCAAGGAGGCCAATGCCAATCTCAAGACTGAGCTTCTGTGAGGAGAACCTTCCCCTCTCTAATGGTAAGCTGCCCAAGAAATCAAACTTGCCCAATTTGTCGGTTGGATATGGAACCCACAACGCATTTGTATAAAGGTCCACAAGCTAGGGCTTAACAAATCAACACACGAAGAAAAAGTGGTCATGAGATTCCAGAGCATTGTTACAGAGAACACAAGTGACGGAGTCAATGTGTGAAGTGCATTTTCTGTCCAGAGTTGGAATTCTATGCTTGATAGCGATCCAAAGTGTAAACGCATGCTAAGTGAGTCCATGGTAAAGTCACCAAGTGCCTGTTAAGAAACTTCATGGTTAGTGCAATTGAGAACTCTCCAGTTGAGGATGGAATCCAAGTGAGCTTATCCTTGTTTTGGGAGCTTGGTGATGGCAGTCTGTTTGTGAGGTGTAATTGTGAAAGGATGTTAGTGATGGAGAAGGGAAAAACCCATGTCGAATTGGTAATGAAGGAGCCAAGTTTGGTTGTGGTGTTATGGGAAGTGTCAATAAGCTGTTGAGGAGAGATGAGTTGGTGAAGAAGGCCAAAGCAGCACCAATTGTCAAACCAGAAGTTGATGCTTTGTCCATCCCCAACTTCAAGGTTGACAAGGGGTCGAAAAGTTGGCCTGAGTTGGAGAAGCTTCCTCCAAGTCCAAGAGCACTGGCTAGGAATGATGACTTCCCAAAGGCTTCTTCCTCTAAGGAGGTAAGTGTTAATCCACTAAACCCATAGCATATCTTTAGACTTAAACAAGTGCCAAATGTGCTTCATAATTGCAACCTTGTTTTAAGAATGCAAATTAGGCAGACCTAAACCACCTGCCCTTTTAGGGAGACAGCAAAACCTCCAAGCCACCTTAGTTTTTGTCCTCTTAAGCTCAGGACCAGACCACAGGAATGCCCCAAAAATTCTAATTAATTCATTGATGGTGCTACTTGGAAGGATGAACTTAGAGCTCCAATAGGTTTGAGTGGAAAATAAAACAGCTCTAATAAGTTGCAGCCTACCTGCAAAGGATAGATGCCTACTGACAAAGGATAGATGCCTACTGGTCCAATGAGATATTCTTGATGTAACCTTATCAATCAAAGTTCTGCAGTCAGTGGATTTAAGCATGGTAGAAATAAGGGGAACTCCCAAGTATCTCACAAGTAGTACACCTTTCTGAATTCCCAAGAAGGAGGAAATGCTTTGAATTGTAGACTCATCAACACCTGAAAAGAAAAGTTGGCTCTTGCTGAAGTTGATTTGCAGTCCTGATAACTAAGAGAAAGCGTCCATAGCAAGCTTAAAGGTTTGTATTGATGGTAAGCTGCCATGTGAGAAGAGAAACAAATCATCTGCAAATATGTGGGTTAGAGACAATTTCTTGCATCTCCAGTGATGCTTAAAGGGCCCAAGGAGTGTGACTTTGCTGACAATGGCTGAAAACACCTCCATTACAATAAAAAAGAGAAATGGTGACAGTGGGTCAACTTGCCTAAGTCCTTTGATTCCTCTAAAATAGCCATTGAATTCATCATTAAAAGAGATGGTGAAGGAGGAAGTAGTAAGACAAGAGTGAATCCATAAGTTGATGGAAAGCCAAAAAGCTTTAAGGAATCAATGAGGAATTCCCAAGAAACAGAGTCAAATGCTTTTTTAAGGTCAAAGGCTTTTCTAAAGGTATTATTAGGTTTTAATTAAGTAAATTTTAAGTATGACATCAGCAGACGTGGAGTGTTTGATTTTATGACAGGGAAGTTAGTTACTCAGATCTGAACCAGAAGGGAGGTCAGTGTTATATTTGAAACTCGATGGAAGGTCCATATTATTTAGGTAATCTATAGAAGAGGTAAGTGCATATAATTTTTATTTGTTTATTCTCAAAAACTTATTTTACTATAGTATATATATTGTTTGCTTGATCCTTTAATTTAGTTTCCTAGGTTGAGCACTGATTATGGAGAATTCTACACTCATTAGCTTAAATCATGAAAATTTGATAAATTCATGTAAATGGATGATTTTAACCTCATCTTGTATCCAACATTTTATTTTGTTGATGGAATAAATAAAAGTTGATAACTCTATGTAATTGTACATGCCATTCTTTTCTAATTAACATGATAGTACAT